GAAAGCCATCTCAAAGTCTTTTTCTCAAAAGATAGTTTTATCTGGTGAAAGGAACAGCCCAAGGGGGACGAAGTTCAATTTTTTGTGATCTAGCTTTTTATAAAAGGTAGCATATTCGAACACCCCACACGAGTTGTTTGCTGTAGCTCAGAAGACCATATTTTAAGATAAACCTTATTTGAGATAAGCCTAGGACAGTAAAGATACGGGAAAACTGTCATGGAAGAAATGGTTGAAGAAAGAGAATTCTAGCAATGAGAATGTGGTACAGAGAAGGCATTCCTACATTAGGAATTCCTTCATTACATACTTTACCCTCACTATTCTAAGTGGCAGTTTAGTGGGACAGAGTCGTAGCTGGTCCCAATCTGTGTTCTAAACCCTGTTAGCTATCTGATCTTGACAAACCCATTAAACCTCACTACCTCTCAATTTCTTCATTCTCTCTCTCTCTCTTTTTTTTTTTTTTTTTGAGGTGGAGTTTCACTCTGTCAGGCTTGTATGCAGTGGTGTGATCTCGACTCACTGCAACCTTTGCTTCTCAGGTTCAAGCGATTCTCCCACCTTAGCCTCACAAGAAGCTGGGACTATAGGCGTGTGCCACCACACCAAACAAATTTTTGTATTTTTAGTAGAGATGGGGTTTCATCATGTTGACCAGGCTGGTCTCGAACTCCTGACCTCAAGTGATCCTCCCAACTCAGCTTCCCAAAGTGGAATTACAGGAGTGAGCCACCATACCTGGCCAGTTTATTCTTAAAATGGGGACAACAGTAGTATTTGCCATACACACACACACACACACACACACACACACACACACACACACACACATATATAGATATATAATCCATGTAATGCGTTTAACTCGATGCCTGGAACACACTAAATAATCAATAAATGCTATTTATATTATTTCGAGAAGTAGCTAAGTACATGGACTCTGGGATCTGAATATCTGAGTTTAAATCTTGCATTCACTACTTACTGCCTATATAATCTTGATTAAGTCTCAGTTTTCTCATCTGTAAAGTGGGAGTAATGATAGCACTAACAGGATAGTGTGAGAATTAATTCATATAGTGCATGTAAAGCACTTGGCATGGTTAAATACCCAGTAAATGTTGGCTATTTAATTAGCTACACTGTGACCAATATAAAAGATATATAGGACCTACTACTTGTTTGCAAAATGCTTATTATGTTAGTTTCTAAGAAGTAATGAGAGGCAGGGTTCAGTGGCTTACACCTGTAATTCCAAAACTTTGGGAGGCTGAGATGGGAGGATTGCTTGAGCCCAGGAGTTTGAGACCAGCCTGGACAACATTGTGAGACCCCATAACTAAAAAAAAAAAAAAAAAAAATCATGGTGGCACATGCTTATAGTCCCAGATACTCAGAAGGTTGAGGTGGGAGGGTCACTTGAGCCCAGGAGGTAAAGGTTGCAGTGAGCTGTGATTGTGCTACTGCACTCCAGCTTGAGCGACAAAGCAAGACCCTGTCTCAAAAAGAGTAATGAGAATTAAATGATGACGTATAAGCATGAGGAAGTCAGGGAGGGGAATAATCACTGTGAATGGAAAGGTTAGGGATAGTACCATGAAGGAAGCTGGATTTAAGGCAGGCCTTATGTGACAGATAGTGGGGATACTTGAAGAAATGGAGAGAGGATACAGGATTATTATATTTCTCTTCAAATTTTAGGAGGCTGCTTTACACATGTCATTTATTCTTCCTTCTTCTAGCCTCATCTTCCTGGAGTGAAGTGAATATTTTGATAACATGATTTAGGAAAACACAGCATGTGAAATAGTGTAGCCCTAATTTCATAATTGCTCATCCAAACAAATCTAACGATATTTTAAAGACCATTTGTACACTGTGCAGTTGAGACCATGTCTATCACAAAAAAATATATAAATAAAAATGAAAAGTAAAAGAGTACAGGGACTGGTATCAAGAACTACTAGGCATATGATCCTATATATAAATTATATTTAGCAATGATGACAACAGAGATATATGTAGCCTACAGGTACTGGGTTTTTTTCTGTGAAATATGGATTCTGCTTTTGGAAAGACATCAATCAAGAGTTCTCTGAAATAGGCTGGGTAAAGTGGCTGACGCCTGTAATCCCAGCACTTTGGGAGGCTGATGCAGGTGGATCACCTGAGGTCAGGAGTTTGAGACCAGCCTGGTCAACATGGTGAAACCCCGTCTCTACTAAAAATACAAAAATTAGCTGGGTTTGATGGTGTGTGCCTGTAGTCCCAGCTACTCGGGAGGCTGAAGTAGGAGAATTGCTTGAACCCAGGAGGCGGAGGTTGCAGTGAGCTGAGATCACACCATTGCATTCCAGCCTATACAACAGAGCGAGACTCCTTAAAAAACAAAACAAAACAAAACAAAACAAAAAAAGGGAGTTCTCTGAAATAAACAAAGACATTTCTATTTCTAGAATGAAGAATACCGGCTTCAAAGACTTCAGTAGAGAGGACTCAAGACTTTTCCTAACTTAGCCATCCCTATGCTGCTAACCGTATCTCCTAATATTCTTCAAACACCCACAGACTATGGCACCGGGCCAATCTCCTTGAGTTCTCCCGAATGCATCCCGCTCTCTTACTGGGCTTGTTACCAGCCAGTGCCTGCCATAGAGTAGGTGCTCCAGAACCACTGGCCAGAACCACATCCATTTCTTACATGTGCTGTTTTGCCAGCCTGGAATTCTTTTCTTTGACATCTCTGTTTAGCTAAAGCTTGTGCATGCTACAGGAGGCCTTTTCCTACCACGTGAGTCCTCACTTATCTTTCCCTTCTCTAAACCACAGCAGTTGTCATTTGCATCACTGATGGTAACAACTATGTGGCTTCCAACTACTAGGCTCCTGCAGCCATTTCTGTGGTCCCAACCACCTCTCAAGTTTTCCTTTCCCTTTTCTAGTATGATCTAGGTTTTCCAGGCAGAGACAGCAACATGAGCAAAGCCCAGAGACCCAAAAGAACATGAAATTCAGGGAACAGTTTGTAGGTCAGTGATCTTCATGGCCATGCCCCTAAGAAAACATGCCTAAAAAGCAGAACCAAAACCAGTTTCTCCATAACCAAAATCTCTTTATGATATTTTTGCTTCAAGAGCACAGTAGTCTATTACGGTATGACCATATTCTCTGGAACACTTGCTGGAAATCTGAAACCTTAAACAATTGTGACGTATCAGTCTATTAAGCTAAGTGGCTTTCTACCTAACACCTCTGCTTCAGGGCTAAGCAATATCCTAGCTAGAAGCCTGCTGAACTAGAAACATGAATTTTCCTTTGCTCCCAAGAAGATGACACATGAATGCTGTGCCCTTCCTTCATGATCCTAACACTCTGTTACAAGGGTGAGCTTTCTCTGATTTGTGATTGACAAGTTTGCCAGGGGTGATAACTGGCCTAATCACTTGCCTTATATATGAGAACTGAAGCCATTTGGAATTTATCCCTCTATCACTAAGCTCTGGCTACAGTTTCTTCTTAACATGCACAAGAGCTATTCCTCAAAGACATTATCTTTGCCATTTATTTTGCCCTCTAACACTTCAAGCTTCAATGCCACATCACGATTTATTTGAATGCCAGGTGTTGTTAGATAAACAGACATTTGAATTACAAGCAACTGGAGACTATTAGACAGTAAATTTTCTCTCTTTTTCATTTAAATTCTCTGTTTCTAAAATTTATTCTAGGTTTTGCTGACATGTTATGTTGGAGAATTACTGAAAGCTTGTAAATAGGAACTACACAACATACTGGCTTTGCCTCTAGGCTACAGGAGTGTGTTAACTTTCCTCTGTATTCCCAGAGTCTTATACTGAGCCTGGTCCTTATTACATCTTCTATTAAATGTTTAGTGAATAACCTCTGTGATGGATTAAAGATGGCTATATATTCTTTACTACATAGGCAGGTGATGTAATTGGATCAACAGAATATGGCAGAAGTGATGTTGTGGCAATTTCTGGACCTGGAAACTTCTACCTTCTGTCCTTCAGAACACTTTCTCTGGAAGCCCTGCCACATAAGTCTGAATACCCTGAGACTGTTTTGCTGGAGAAGCCAGATAACAGTCCCAGCAGAGTTCAGCCTTCTATACATCTGTCAAGGTGCAGAGGGGTGAGTGGAGCCTGCAGACTGTTAGCAGAATAACACTTGGAACAGAAGGATCACCTGGCTGGGCCCTGTCAGAATTCCCTGACCCACAAAATCTGTGATGTAATAAAATTATTGGTTTTTTAGCCACTTAAGTTTTAGATTACTTTGTTATATAACCATAAATAACCAGAACAAAATCCTGACGGGGGCTCCATGTATACTATTCAGCACCCGAGAGATCAACTGGTGTGTTCATAGCTACTGTTCACCTGACTAGAGCAGGACGGTACACATGTGAGGACAGTTGGGCTGATTTACCACAGCTAGTGGTGGCCAGTAAGTGCCGTTTCTCATTTTGTGAGTTCTTGGGCAGCATAGACCAGGGAACCTGATCAACCTCAGGACACACAGATTTCAAATAGGATTCTACCTAGCACTTTAGACCCAGGAGGACTAAGCCTTCATAATTCTTTCTGCTGATTATTGGAAGAGTTAATCACTCGATAGAACTAACATTTCTAATAGAAGAGATTAGATGGAAATTAGATATAAGACCAAAAGACTCTTCATGGTGATGATGGAGTGGGAACCACTAGATTAAATGAACATAAAGACAGAGGGTAGATGCATTTCCTTTCTCACCCAAATGGTAGCTTCTGAGAAATATAGTTGCAAAAACATCTAGAAATACAGACGGGATGAAGAATGAGAGAAATCTGAGCACGCAGGGGAGGAGGGTAAGTGAAAATTCATTCTGTGTGTACTTGAAATTTCTGATTCAAGGGACCAGAACACATGTTATTAGCATTTTCAATTTTTCTGAATATCAAAGAGAACAAAAACTAAAGAGAATAACTCAGAAATAAAATGATGACAAGATAATTGTTTAATACGAAAATCCTTGGGTGGAGTACTAAGAGACTTCCATTTCAGTCCCAACACCTGGCAATTGATTGGACTTATTCTTAACTCAGTTTTCTTGTTGTAAAATGACACCATTCCGCTTTCTTCATGAAAATTATGTGGGTTGGATTGCAGGATAGAAGATAAAAAGTGGCTTAGAAGGAAAAAGAAAGAATATGCAATTAGTAAATAGTACCAGTTCTTGAGAAGTTTGGAATAGAAACATTTTACTCTTCAAACACATAACCTCTTTTTTTAGATTAAAGTAAACAAATCACTCTTTTACTATTACACAAATGCCGATTATTAAGTTTGTATAAAAATTAACTATAATTAGATAATGAAAGACAAGTAAATGAATCAGCAAGACATATAAACAGCAACATTGTCTAAGAAGAATTCACCATCTAGACTGATTCTGTTGCATCTTGAGCTGGGCGTAATCCTGTGAAAACACACAGGATGTGAGATGAAGGCCAAATCAGCTGGTAATCAAGTGGCACCTCTGGAGGCTGAGAGTACAAAGTAGTCCCTGGAAGAGGCACTGGCAAATTGGTGGACTTGGTGGCAAAGGCTGATAGCAGCTCTCTTGGGCCATCGGGGGGACTTCATAGTCTGGTAGTTAGCTGTTGTCACCCAGCAAACACATACACCAAAAGAGAAGCCATTTCTTTTGTCTAATTAATAGGTAGTGCCAATGGAGATACCAGTGTTTCTCAAGCTGTCCTCTGCAGACCCCCTGCAGCACAGCCCTAGTAAAGTTCAATCCTGGGACCTACCCCAGACCAACGAAATCAAAACCTCTGCACCAGGGGTGAGAAATCTATATTTTAGGTATAATAGGTACTCCGGGTGCTTTCACTGAAAATCTCATAGTTTAAGGACTGCTGCACTCTCTTGCACAATGTGACTGTCCGCAAATATGCCATGTTCACAACATCCTCAATTCCTTTGCTTCTTCTCCCTCCAGGAACACTCCTCCCTTCTCTACTTTCTTCACCCCATGGGCTAAGATCCACTGGCTTCCTGGGGCTGTCCCCAACTTCTTGATCTTCCTTTCATGAACCCTAATTATGCTCCTTAATCCTGTCTTATTCTACTTTGTAACCTCTTTCATAGGTATAGTAAATCCACCTTCATTCCATTAATTCCTGCCTAGGGCAGAAAGATCCTGCTTTAAATGGTTTCCTTCTCTGACAAGACCTGTCTCCTAGCCACTTTTTTATTTTTAAATAAATGCTTTTGCTTCCTGTCTTTCAATACAATAGAAGGAATGGGTCTTAGAGCTCCATAAGAGCAGAAAGTCCTAAGGAGCAGATGTCTTCCAGAGAAAATGGGAGAAGTTCTCACTCCACCTCCACCACTGCACTGTTGAACTTCACTGATTGGACCTCAAGAGGTACAAGCTTTTTTCTATCACTATTGATGGTTTTGGTTTTTCCCTACATTAACCCCCTCAGCATCAAAATAAATTTAAACTGAAGACAATGTTTGTGCCTTTTCCCCAACTATACTATAATCTTAAGGGCTGAAATCTAGTCTTAATGCTTCTTACGTAATTCCTCCACCCTAGACATTTATTATTGTCTGCCCGCCCTCTTCCCTGGGAACTGCCACCCCCTCAGTCTTGTCATGATTCCTCCTTGACATTTTATGCAATGTGCCTCCAGGCTCCTGGTCACAGCTGATTGGTCTAGAGATGGGCACCTGATTTAAAGCTGTGTCAGTCAGTTCCTTTTCTCCCCAGGTATTTTGAAAACTGGGGAGACGTTTGAATTCAGATTGAGCTCAGGAGATGTTTCCCCTGTGTGGACCAGAAAAATGGAGGAAACTATTCTTTAGAAAGAGAGAAGAATGCTGTAGATAGCGGCAGATGGAGAGAGAGAAGCACATGAGTGATGGAGGAGTTTAGATGGGACTGTATTTCTACCACTGGGTATCTTTTGGAACTCACAGTTTTCAGAGTAAAGCCCCCATTTTATGTTAAGCTAGTTCTGGAGACTTCAGGGAAGACTCAGAGGGCAAGGGAAAAGGGAGTTGTGGATGGCCTCTAGATAGTCAGTCCACAGGATCTAATGAAACACGTATGATCTCACGTAATCCTCAAAATAATCATGTGTTTTTATGAAGCAATCATTATTATTCCCACTTGAAAAATAAGAAACCAAGGCTTAGAGGAGTTAAGTAACTTTTCCTAAAACCACTCTGTTACTAAGCTGGAGGTGGGCATGGGACTTGAGGCCCGCTCCATCTGACTCCACCATGCTGAACTGTCTTCAAGTGAAGGTCAACGGGTGTGATGCTGAGGGCTCTATTCATTCATATATATATATATATGTATATTTTTGAGACAGAATCTCGCTCTGTCACCCAGGCTGGAGTGAAGTGGAACAATCTTGGTCATTGCAACCTCCAACCCCTATGTTCAAGCAATTCTCTTGCCTCAGTGTCCCGAGTAGCTGGGATTACAGGTGTGCGCCACCACCCTTGGCTAATTTTTGTGTTTTTAGTGGAGACGGGGTTTCACCATGTTGCCTAAGCTGGTCTTGAACTCCTGGGCTCAAGATACCCACCTGCCTCGGCCTCCCAAAGTGCTGGGATTACAGGTGTGAGCCACTGTGCCTAACCTGTTCATTCTTGCTCCCATACTCTCACGCCAAGCTAGGGGAATTTGAAAAAATTCTACAGGCCAATTCCGAGTCCTGGTGTTGATCCCAACTCCGTATGCTTGGCAGAGACTGTGATTTATGCTGCCCTCTGTAGGAAGTATGGAATGAGTAAAGGAACTGCCCAGCAGCTCAGAGACCTAGAAGCTGGCTGTTCTAAGAGGTTCTAAGAGGAAGCAGCTGGGAGCAGCAGTCCTGAAAGTTTCACTGCCAACAAGAACAGTTGGTATTGGGTGGCCATGCCAGAAGCAATGATCAAGATTCACTCTAGCAGTGCCAGTCACAGCCAGCACCAGATAACAGCAGGTGTCTGTGAGAATTGCTCAGAAGTCTTTATCCCTCTCCATCCTACCAGTGAGTTATGGTCACCCTTGATATTTCACATGGGGTTGTATAATGGGGTGTGGTAGGGACAGGAGAGGGGAGAAGAAGGTAGAGATCATCCCAAGAAGAGTAAAACAAACGGGAAGGGAGAGAGGTTCAGCAACTCTGAGCAAAAGTCTAGACCTCAGATTCTTGACCAAGAGCAAACAGACCCCTGAAAGATTCTTGACCAGAAGCAAACTGACTATTGAAAGAGGATAACACATCAATATACAAACTTTTAGTCTGGAGGGATGGCCTCTTAGCCCTCTCCTTTTGTATTTAAAGAAAGAGAAGTCCAGTTAGCTGGGTGGGTGGTGCACACCTGTAATCCCAGCTACTTGCGAGGTTGAGGCTGGAGAATCACTTGAAACCGTGAGGCAGAAGCTGCAGTAAGCCGAGATTGCGCCACTGCACTCCAGCCTGGGCAACAGAGTGAGACCCAGTCTCAAAAAAAAAAAAAAAAAAAAAAAAAAAAAAGAAAAAGAAAAAGAAAAAAAGAAAGAGAAGCGAGAAGTTCAGAAAATTAAATAATTTATCTGACTCAGCTAGCTAAAGACAGAGTCTGAATTAGAGTACAGAATTGATTTCAAGCCGGGCTTGAGGTCTAGTAGATTTTCCTCTACAACACTCGTTCTATTTTCTTTGTGTAGCTATAGGATAAGTAAAACATTACATGGAGTGGCCTTGGCCATTTCTCATACCTGAGTAGATATACTCATCACTTTTCCCGACGTGAAAAGAACAAATAAAATTCCTTTAAAAGGCTTTTAAAAGCTTCATCTCCGGAAAGCTATTTGTAAAAATTTAGGATGAGTGCTGAACTGCCAAAGGTCCTAAATATCTCTGAACTATCAGCATATTCATTCTTGTCCTCTTTTCCCTTAAATAAAGGTTGTGATGGCTTTAATATTCGAGTCGTTCTCCTTGGCATGCCCACAAACAAAAACCCTCTTTACACATGTTTCTTGTACTCAAGAACATGCAAAGCGTGATTTCTCCTGCGGAATCTCACTGTGCGCTCCTTGGATGCCACAAGGCAGCTGCAGCTCACGCGCCCCTGCAGCTCCTGGGTTCGTGTGAATGTCGCCTCCACTCTGGCTGGCAATGGAACAAGCCAGATGGTCTTGGGAGGCCTCAGCCCACCGCTTCCAAGTCATGAGCAAGCCTCTTTTCATTTCTAGGGATTTTAAAAAGACAAGAGAGTAGAGAGAAGACTTTTAAAATTCACCTTCCTTCCTTGACACCTTCTCTACTGTGAAATCTGATGAAAGGAATAAAGGGGAAAGGGCTGTTTGGAAGGAAATTTCCAGCTCCTAAGAGAATATTGAAGTTATTTTAAATGGTTCAAAGAGCTCCTAAAAGGAAATATTAATGGTAGGATGAATAAAAAAATCTTGAAATGGTTCAGAGGCGATATATATATATATATATATACATATAAATTGGGTTGCAGTGGCTCATGCCTGTAATCCCAACACTTTGGGAGGCTGAGGTGGGTGGATCACCTGAGGTCAGGAGTTCGAGACCAGCCTGGTAAACATGGTGAAACCTGTCTCTACTAAAAATACAAAAATTAGCTGGGCGTGGTGGTAGGCACCTGTAATCCCAGTTACTTGGGAGGCTGAGGAAGGAGAATTGCTTCAGCTGAGATCGAGCCACTGCACTGCAGCCTGGGTGATAAAGCAAACCATCTCAAAAAAAAAAAAAAAGAATATTATAACTGTAATAGCATGTGTTGATGTCTATAGTATAGAGGAAAAGGTCAAAAGTATTGGTGGGCCAGAATTTTTCATCCTTTTGGGGATTTTTATTTCATTTTATTTTATCCATATTTACAAGAAAATTGCCTGAAAACCCAGGGAAGGCATGAGTAGCTTAATGCAAAATGTTTCAAAAGAAAATGCCTGTGACAAGGAAAGAAAGTTTGTGAAGGTGCATTTTAATTAAAATGTTATCTAGGCAGGGCGTGGTGGCTCACGCCTGTAATCCCAACACTTTGGGAGGCTGAGGCGGGCAGATCATTTGAGGTCAGGAGTTCAAAACCAGCCTGACCAACACGGAGAAACCCCATCTCTACTAAAAAAAAAAAAAAAAAAAAATTAGCCAGGCATGGTGACAGGCATCTGTAATCCAAGCTACTTGGGAGGCTGAGGCAGAAGAATCGCTTGAATCCAGGAGGCGGAGGTTGCAGTGAGCTGAGTGAGATTGCACTACTGCACTCCAGCCTGGGCAACAGGAGTGAAACTCCTTCTCAAAAAAAAAAAAAAAAAAGTTATCTAAATGCATCATATTAGCAATTAAAAGCTACTGCTTGCCAAATTTGTGATTGCAGTTCTAATCTCTTCTCCAACCCATGGATTTCTAAATCCCATGGTTCTAATATTCTATGCATTGTAAATGCAAATTTGAATGTTTCCACCCTAGATGAAAACCCTTCAATGGCTCCCTATTGACTACAGAATAAAGCCCAAGTCCTGAATATATCACACAAGGCCCTTGTGACTTGTCCACATTCTCTCTAGCTGACATTGGTGTGTAAGACACGGATTGCCTCTACCCTATACCCCTATATCTTCATAGCTCAAAAAGCTCACAAAGGCTTCCTAATATCAAGGTGTTTTCTGAGCCAGAAAGCCAGGTAAGGGATTTTCCACTCCATCAGAATGGGAGCCCTGATACTGCTTTGCTGTTAAACTTCATTCTTTCATTGTACATTTATGGAGTGCCTATTTTTGTCAGGAACTGTATTAAATTGTAGGTATTTCAGAGCAAACAAGACACACATTATGACTACAAAGAGCTTACATACCTGATTAAACACTATTAGTTTCCTATTACTGCTGTAACAAATTATCACAAATTTGTAGCTTAGAACACCACCATTTTATTGTCTTACATTTCTGGAGGTCAGAAGTCTGAAATGAATTTCACTTGGATAAAATCAAGACATTGGCAGGGCTGCATTCCTTATGAAATCTATAGGGGAGAATCTGTTTCTCTTGTCTTTCTAGCTTCTAGAGGTTTTCTACATGCCTTGGCTTATGGTCTCTTCCTCCATCGTCAAAGCTAGTAATGTAGGATCTTCAGATCTCTTTCTGACTCTGTTTCTGTGGTTACATGTCCATGTCTAACTCTGACTCTTCTATTTCCCTCTTATGAAAACCTTGTGGTTATACTGAGCCCACTTAGATAATCTAGGATAATCCCCCTATCTCAAGATCCTTAACTTAAATCATATCTTTATAAAAACTCTTGCCACATAAGGTAACATATTCACAGGTTTTGAGGATTAGGATGTGGACATCTTGGAGGGTAGGGGTATTCTCTTAACCACACTCTGCTAGCAGTTTTATTTTGTCTGAATGAGCACTATTTGCTTATATGAAAAACATGTGTTGAGTGCCTACTATGTGCCAGGCACTGTTCTAGGTGCTGGGAATACAGCAGTGAATAAAGCAGACATAGAGTTCCTGCCCTCAGGGATCTTACCTTCTAGATGAAAGACAGACAATAAACCAACAAATGATTAGATAATACGTGAGGGAGTGATAGACTTCAGAGAGCAATAGAGCTGTGTGGGGAGTATGAGATTGGGGTGATTGCTATTTTGTAAAGGGTAACTATAACAATCAAGGTCTAGTTAGGAGAATGGAAGCTGTTCTTGGTCATTCAAACAGAGGGAATTTTTATTTTTTATTTTATTTTATTATTTTTTTGAGACAGGGTCTCTCTCTGTCACCCAGGTTGGAGTGCAGTGGTGCAGTCTTGGCTCACTGCAGCCTCGACCTCCTGGGCTCAAACGATCCTCCCACTTCAGCCTCCAGCTAATATTTTTGTATTTTTAGTAGAGACGGAGTTTGGCCATGTTGCAAAGGCTGGTCTCAAACTCCTGGCTTCAAGTGATCCGCCCTCCTCAGTCTCCCGAAGTGCTGGAATTACTAGCATAAGCCATCGTGCCTGGCCAAAATGAGAGAATTTTTATACAGGGGAACTACATGGTGGATGGAAGAGCTGATAAATTAACCAGGGTGATGAGGGAATCCAGAGATTTTTTTTTTTTTTGACATGGAGTTTTGCTCTTGTTGCCCAGGCTGGAGTGCAATGGCTTGATCTCGGCTCACTGCAACCTCCGCCTCCCGGGTTCAAGTGATTCTCCTGCCTCAGCCTCCCAAGTAGCTGGGATTACAGGCATGTGCCACCACGCCTGGCTAATTTTGTATTTTTAGTAGAGACGGGGTTCCTCCATGTTGGTGTGGCTGGTCTCTGACTCCCGACCTCAGGTGATCTGCCCGCCTCGGCCTCCCAAAGTGCTGGGATTACAGGCATGGGCCACCGCACCCAGCCAGGATTCTTAACACCAGGAACCTAATATCACCCTCCAGCTGAATTTATATCAGAGCCTGGGGATGGTTCTCACCCAGTGGAACCTGGGGCCATGGAGGAAATGCACTTGCTGCTAAAACTCTGCCTGAAGCACAAACAGAGAGGAGGAGAATGGCTTTCACTTGTCTCTTCCATCTGTCCAAATTCCTGTTATGCATCCTGATGGTTGAAACCAGCTGGAAGCCCCTGACAAGGCATCCTTGAAAACACGGCCCATGGGGGTCAGCCCTACTGCAAGGCAGAGCAGGACAAGAGAGAGCTCCCAAGAGCAAGCAGGCAGATTACCAACACAGTTACCTCTGTACAGACATCTAAACAGACCCAGAAAGTGCATCATGCAGATATTTGGGGAAAGAGCTCTCCAGGCAGATGAAAGAGCACATACAAGTCCTGGAGGCAGTAGAGCACCAGATGTAGTCAAAGAATAGCAGGAATGCCAGTGTAGCTGGGGTAGAAAGAGGGAGGGGAGAGAGAGGGATTGGGAGTCAGAAGAGTATACAGCTCTCTGGGCCAGAATGTGAACCGGGGCTTTTTCTCCGAGTGAGGTGAGAGGTCCTGGAAGCTTTGTGAGCAGAGAAGTGACAAGATCAGACTTACTCATGCTCCATACTCTGGATCCTGTGTATAGAACAAATGATTTGAGGGGAAATGCAGGAGTAGGGAAACCAACTAGGGAGACCAGTAGGGAGACAATTGTGATAATCCAGGTGAGAAATGGCTTGAATCAGAGAGGTGGAGCTGCAGTGGGTGGAAGTGATTGGATTCTACACATATTTTGAAGAAAGGACCATCAGAATTTGTTGATGGTTTGGATGTGAGAGAAATAGAGGAGTCAAAGACGATTCCAAGACTTTTGCTCTGAACAAAACCTCTGAACCTCTGGGAAGATACCCTTAACGGAGATGGGGAAGACTGCTGGAGGGAAGTGGTTTTTTTTTTGTTTTTTGTTTTTTTTTTTTTGACAGAGTCTCACTCTGTTGCCAGGCTGGAGAACAGTGGCTTGATCTCGGCTCACTGCAACCTCTGCCTCCCAGGTTCCAATGATTTTCCTGCCTCAGCCTCCTGAGTAGCTGGGACTACATGTGGCGCCACCACACCCAGCTAATTTTTGTATTTTTAGTAGAGATGGGGTTTCACCATGTTGGCCAGGATGGTCTTGATCTCTTGACCTTGTGATCGAACCGCCTCGGCCTCCCAAAGGGAACTGGTTTTGAGAGGGATATCTGGAGTTCAGAAGGGCACTGGCTTTGCGGGGAATACTTGGAGCTAATCAATTTTAAATATGTGAAGTTTGAAATACCTAGTACATAATCAGTTGCAGATGTTGAGTAGCAGATGGATGTACAAATTTGGAGACAGGGGAGATGACTAGCCTGGAGGTGTAAATTTGGAAGTATTTAATGTACAGATGTTATTTAAAACTATCAGACTGGTGAGCTTACCACAGAGTGAAAAGAGACCACAAAGAGATGTCCGAAGTCTGAGTCCTGCAGTCTCCTATGTTGAGAAGTTCAAGACCAGAAAGGTAGAATAAGAACTAGGATCGACTCTTGGCTCAGAAGACAAGGGAAGAAAACATTTCAAGAACCAACATGGTTGCCTTCTTCTCTGCTGCTGAGGGCTCCAGCCAGGTGAGCTTGGAAGTTGAGCACCAGATTTAGCAATGAGGAAGTCACTGATGCCCCTGAGAAGACCTGTTGCTGTGGAGTAGTGGGGGTGAAAGCCTGCTTGGAGTGGATTCAAGGGAAGGGAAGGATAGGAATTGAAGACATCAAGCATGGAAGAGCCTTTTGAAGATTCCAGTTATAAAATGAAGCAGGGGGAGACATAAAAATCTAGGAAGCATTTTACTTTTTACCACGGCAGATATTCCAGTATGCTTGTAAACCCTTAGAAGTGAAGCAGTAGAGAAGGAAAATTTGCTGATTCAAGAGAGAGTGGTGACAGTTGCTGAATCAATGTCCCTGAGTTAGAGGCGATGGCACTAATGCACAGATCTAGAGGCTAATCTCGGCTAAGAGCACCGAGAGTTCATAAGTGACAGGAAGGACAGAGGAGTATATGCAGACAGATGCGGGTAGGCTGGTAGACAGAGTGGTAGAGAGGGTATGTGTATTCAGTTCTCTTCTGATTATTTCTATTTTACCAACAAAAGAGGGAGCAAGGCCATTAGCTGGAAGTACTAGGAGAGGTTTAAGGAGGAGAAGGTGTGAAATAGTCCTTTAAAGAGGAGGGAACAGTACAGGGAAGTATAGCAGTTTTGCTGTTAATTGATTAACAGAATGTTAATTGGTTATAAAGTACTTGGTGTTTTAAACTAGTAATGAATACTACTATGTAAATGAGAGAAGAGGCATTTTCTAAGGAATCCAGTATTCACGTAAACAGAGTCACACCAATAAGATTAAAACAATAAAACCCTAAAATTGAAACAACATGGGATATCACTTAATCCTGAATAATTTTGAGGGCACTTCGGATCTTTGTAATGATTCAGAATAATCTTTCTAAATATCACTTAGAATAATGCCCTGTAGATATACAGCTACTGGAGTTCTGAACTAAAAGGCCAGTTAAATCAGATTTCAAATGTAAAACATGCAAATGTGAGTCAGTGTTTATAACATTAAAAAATACATACAACTTCTTTGTATGGTAGGCCTCTGTGTCAAAATTCATTCTATATTTGGTATATTCTATACATTAGGGTGTTTTGTGGGGTAGAATAACCAGAGAGAAATGGATTCACCTGGGTTTTAACAAACTAAGAAGCAAATAGGAAGGGAGTAACATAGTAAATGACTAGATGTTCTTATCACTAGAAAGGTTACATATCCTTTGTGTTGGAGGGCAAAGGGAAGGGATTGAGCAGAGATGGGTAGAGAAGCCAAGAAAGAGAGTGGACAGGAAGTGGACTGAGATCTAGTCTGTGCTCTTGGCAAACTCTCCATTCCTCCTTTCCCCCTTCTGCTGCCTGACATCTGCTATTTTGAAACCCTAGGAAGGTCAGGAGGATACAGCAGGAGTGACTGACCTAGAGGATGTGCAGTTGAAAACTAGGCTTTGGTAGCTTTCACTTTTTATCTCCTTTAGAAACAAGGATGAAAGTTCTGCCATCAGTGAGGGATAAATAGTAGCCCAGGGCCTTGAAAAAGCAGTTTTAGATCCCTGGGACAATTTCTACTATTTTACTATGTCTGAAGATTAGGGAAGTTATTTTTGTAATTTGAGGCCAACACCCATCTCTTGAGCCTTATAAGAAGCACTGAAGAATGTTAATAGAGTTGGCTAGCATTTGGGTCAATTATTTCAAATGGCTATCTGGGAGTCATAAAACAGATGGCCCTGAAATTGTACTGTGTTGGTGGATGTAGATTGGCAGCCATCCTTTAAGGGCAAAATTATGTTAAAAGCTAAGCCAGAACAAATGAGCAACAACTGATTTATAATATTTTGCAATGTTATGAAAAATGGTTTCTTAAAACAGATTCACAGGACTGATGGTGATGTTCCATTGTGTTTCTTTGTGAAAATATATTAAACATACCAGTAAATGAATCTGAGGCCTACCCTCCCTCTCTCCCTTCTTTCCTTCCTTCCTTCCTTCCTTCCACAGATCTTGCCTTCCTTCCTTCCTTCCTTCCTTCCTTCTTTTCCTTCCTCCCTCCCTCCTTCTTTCCTTATAGTTATTTTGGGAGTATGGATGTATTTAGTTTGGGTCTTTGGTTTTAATTAGAATATTTATTAAATAACAAGGAATCTGCTTTGAATTAGTGTAAAAGCAAATCATGAACTGTAGATTACCTTTGAAATTACTGTAACGTGGTCAATATTTTTGTTGCCTTTGTAGTTGAGACAGGGAAATTTTGAAATAAAATTGTCAACATTTAAAGAAAATTGTCAACATGTAGCTACTCTTTGTGAAACTGACCTATAAAATCAAACTGTTTTGTCATTTGCTGTAAAAGGAAGATTTGTTATTCATTGGAAAATTTTATAGGTCTAAGAGCTCTTATATGAAATATATATATACACACAAACACACACATATGTATATATATATTTAGAGACAGGATCTCACTGTGTTGCCCAGGCTGGAGTGCAGTAGTGTGATCAGAGGTCACTGCAGCCTTTAATTCCCGGGCTCAAGTGATTCTGAAGCCTCAGTCTCCTGAATAGCTGGGACTACAGGTGCATGTCAACATACCTAGCTAATATTTTTTATTTTTGTAGAGACAGGGTCTCTCTGTGTTGCCCAGGATAGTCTCAAACTCCTGGCTTCAAGCAGTCTTCCCACTTGGGCCTCCCAAAGTGCTGGGATTACGCATGTGAGCCACCATGCCGGCCAGCTATGGAATTTTAAAGCTGTAATAACCTAACATGTGGGGTACCCCCCACAGAGGAACAATCAGAGAGATTAAATAACTTCTCAAGGAGACTCAATTATTAGTGGCACAGAAAAACTTAAACCCTAGTTTCCTGACTTTGTCTAGTATCACCTAGGTTTCTAATACATAAACTTTCATTGACAGGATTTAAACTTGCAAGTGACTGAAAAGTTTTGATTGCCTAGTCCTCATATGCTTAGGTTCATGCTTTAGGTTTCTAGTTCTGTGGGACTGAGTTACATAATGGTTTTCCCATGTTCATGGATAGGAATTTTAAAAGTTGAGATATAATCCACATACCATGGAATCTATTTTTACTCATTCATTTTGAAATCTAAAGTTTAACTTCTATTCACAATATCCATTTGACTTAAGCAGTGAGTATATAATAACCCTCACTTCAGAAAAGTTTCTACAGTTAAAAGAAGACACAGGCCTGAAAAGAGTTCATCTTCATCCTTAATAGCATTTTGGAGTAGTTATAAAGGCGCCTGAGGATGCCTAATGATTTAAAAAAAAAATGGTGAATAGGGTTTTTATGAGGAAGATGTGGAGAAAGCAGAGATTATTACCATTGAAAAAGACAAGGTGTTAACAGAAATGGGAGGGTAGTTTATAATAAGAGTCCAAACTTGACTGTACTTTTTAGGGTAGGGCCAAAGGCAAGTACTGAGGACAGGTATGGACTGTTGCGTTCAACTTTTTAAAAAAGTAGCCAATACCTAGTATGGACCAAGCCTGCGGAGTCACTGAGAATACAGAGATGAATGAGCCAGTTCGTGAAGGAGCCTAGTCTGGGTGTGTGTGCGAGTTGAGAAGAGAAGGAGGGAGGGAGCATGGGGGATGTGGGGGTGGAGGAATGAGATTGAAAGAAAAGGCTGAAAAACTGAATATATGGTAAAATTTGGGCTGCAGATATGTGCTGGCTCTTAGGCAGAAACCTGTCCCAGAACCTCTTAATACATTAACCTCATTTGCCAAATTTGGCCAGGTATCTTGACGGTGGTCTTCTAGAGATGCCCTCTTGAATCGGTTTAAAAATTATCCTGCCGCAACCATCCCTAGCTTTCCCCACCGCCAGTGCGCGAGGCAGGTTGAAAACTGCACCCACGTTTGCAGCCTCTGCTCTCCGCAGGAGACAGGAATCCAGGGCTTTGCCGTCGTCATAGCAACCAGAAGTTCCGCGGTCCCCTACCCTCCCGCGACTTCTTCCACTTCCTCCGCCCGCAAGGCCCAGCCGCCGCTTCTCTCGCGAGACTTGCGCGCAGTGCCGAGCCGCTCCGTGGTGATCTCACCCGAGACTTGGGGGAGAGGGAGGAGTGAAGGAGGGGAAGGAATGGGGCGGGAGGCGGGGCGGAGAGGGGAAGGGCGAGTGAGGCGCCGCCACTGCCGGCAACTTTGTGAGCTAGTTCAGTGCGTGCGTGAGCGAGTGAGCGAAAAGTCAGTGCAGCGCCGAGTCCCCGGCTGGAGGGTCCCCGGGGAGGGCCAGGTCTGGGCCCCAGAGGCCGCCCCCGCCGCCACTCCATCCCCTCCCGCCTCTGTAGCTCCCTCCCCATTTCCTCCCCCACCGGTCCTCGGGGCCTTCTCGCCCCCGTAGGCACTTACCTGTCCCCTCCCCCACGCGGTACGCACCCCCCATCCCCCCCTACCTCGCGCCCATCTCGGACCCTCGGAGCCCGGACCCCCGCACTTGCTTCCCGTATTGGGCGCCCCCTCAGTTTTTTCTCCTGCGGGCGGGCGGGATGGGGGGCGCTGAGCCTCGGGGACGGCGCGAGCCGGGGCCCGGGCGCCTAGACAATAGTTGATGCCCGAGGACGGGGCCACCTCCGCCTTCTCCTCGGGAGCTCGGCCCCCGCCGGCCGCCCGCCAGCCTGCATTCCGGGTCCCCCTCGGAGCCAGGCTCGGGAATTGGGCTGATTCTGCCCCCGCCTCCCTCGGGCCCCCCTCCGCTCCGCGCTCGGCGCCCGCCCCGGCCCGGCCTCGCCGCTCTCCGCAGAGGAGGCGGCGAGTGAGCGCGCGCCGGCCGTCTACACGGTTTCTCTTTCTCCCCAGGGAGAGCGCGCGGCGGACGCGCCCGGGACGCGCGGCGGCACCGGGAGGCCGGGCCGAGCGGTAAGTGGTCCCCGCGCCCGGGTCCTGGGGGTAGTGGGGGTGCAGGACCGCTGACAGCCCCCTGCCCTGTTTCTGGCCGGGGTTGGGGTCCAGGGCCCGGAGCAGGACCCCAGGAGGCCGGTTAAAGTTTGATTTTCGATTTGGTGGCTTGCTGATAGCGCAACCTGGCGGGGGCGAATCCGGCTCTACCGCGCCAGGCGCGCGCGCACACACCCCAGAACCCGAATCTGCACAACTACTGGGTAGGCGCCTCTGCGGGAGGCCAGGAGACCCGCGTCCCCGTCCGGGCGGTTGCGTCCACCCCGCTGAGCTGGTCGCCACCTGGCGACCCTTCCTTTCCAGTCACCTGGGTGAGCGCTTTGCAGCCTGAGCTGGAGTAGTAGGCAGGCCGAGTTGGCTGAGTTGTGGGAAATGGAGACAAACAGCTCGGTGCCTGAGGGTGGTTAATTTCCCCTTTGGGGGTCTTGGGGACATGAAATTTTGGGATGCTGTAACCTGATTTCCAGGGAGCGAGTAAACCGCGAAAGGGCTGGGGAGGCGCGAGGGTGCTGCAAAAAGAACTTTTCCTCCTTCGCCCCATCTGTTACCAGCTTCTCTCCTGACCTTAAAGGAAATTTCCGAGGCTCTTAAAAAATCGCTCCACGGCATTTCTAGGTGGACCAGTAATCGTGTTGGGCAGGTTGAAATTGCATCGCGGTTTGGAAAACAGAGAGACATGGGAAATGGCTCACTTTCAATGAAGATGTTTAGCTGAATTGTTGGCATTCGTTTTCTAAGGGAAGCATTTGGGGATTGATGGCTCCTAGACTACGTTTACCTTACAGATTTTATTTTCGCTGACGGGTAGTTTAGAGGCAGCATTCACTGAAATGCATACTACCTGTGAAACGATCATGTTTCTAAACTGGAGCCAGCGATGCGATGCAAATTTCAGAGTAAAGGTGTCGACTTTCATCAGGTTCCAGGTCTATCTGGATGGACTGGGATTGGCGTTTCCTCTATAAAGCAAACCTTTCATGTTGAAACTCTGAGTCAGACTCTTAAAGCCATTGTTTTTATGCTGGTACTCTGTGGGAGTTAAGTGTCAACTTTCTCCTGTTTTCTCCTATGGAGTATCCGACCAAGGCAAAGATTCTCTGACCGAATCTTTTGGAAATGTACAAGGTTAGATCATACTGAGTTCTGCGGCCAGTTTAGTAATAGTATTAATTTTCTGTATAATCCTGATTTAACGACTTTCATTTTTCTCTTCGTTTCTTGAAAGCTGCAATTAAGCTACCTTTACCAGGATTAAAAAAAGGATAATATGGAACAGTGGTAATAGCAGTAGGTCTCAGCTAGTTTATTACGGCCACTGATGTGTCCAACTATTAGATGACATCCCAGTTATTAACTACAATATTAATATTAAAACATTTTCCCATGGAATCAATTATGCTAAAGCATTAACAATTAACAGTGCATTTACAATGATGAGTGATTGTTTCCACATAAATGGTTAGAGGCAAAATAAGAGATTTGGGTGATGAATGACTTTATGTCTCTGACAACTAATTTTCTTATCTCATTAATGCTTAAGTAAAGGACTCTTGAAGTTGACTGTCATTTGATTTTTCTAGTTGACTGAGAGAACAAGTTTGGTGAGTGGCTTGAGACAGTCAGTAGGTGTTGCTGTTGTTAGCTTCTCTGCAGTTCCTGCTTCTGCTCCTCGAGTTTGAAATTGCAATTCTGGTACAGTGAACTTTTAAAATCTGAAGTATCAGTCAGTGATAGTTGTGATTTCATTGGAGGATTCTATGGCAAGGTTGACTTGAACTCCAGGTAATAATTGCAAAGCAGCTCTCTGATACTTTGTATTGAGATTCATTTAACTCTTCATTTGTCTCTGCCCTTTCACTAGTATTTTCAGGCTTCTGCATTTGCTTTGCTTTTGCTTTGAAGTATGTGTGTAATTTTGGTATAGTGCCCCCACCTTGATTGTTTAGGAACTTTTAAAAACACCTTCTAGTAAGTTTATTGAAGTCATAGATTGAGGATTGCTTGGGATTAGCAGTTTTGTAGACTTTGGGGGAATCTTGGTTGAGTTGTGATGTGTATATGTTCTATGTTAAGTTGCAGTCTGAATTTTTAGATAAATGACTGTTTTTCTTTTTTTCAAAAATCTCTTTGAGCTGTGAAATGGGAGCATGAGGAGAGCTGAAATGGTATGAGAGTGAAATTTGGTGGAAAGTTTGTTATAATTAAAAATATGACTATGTGCCTCTTATCAGTCCTTACCATTGTATTATCATTGTTATTGGTCCGTATCAGTGCACAAATAAAGTATGAATATCCTGAAGGTTTTTTTGTGACATCTCAGATTTAAGCCTTTTGGTTCACTGACCATATTAGATTTTCTCTATGGAAGACAAATAGACTCATTCCCATAATAAAGAACTAGAGCTCTGATAGAGCACACTTTTTTTTCCCCTTTGGATCAAATCATGGAAGTTCATATCTGAAAATAAATTCAGAAATTCCTTTTTTCCCCATTGCATCCCTATATTCCTAAGCTTTTGAGTGGTGAGTCAAGCAATATTTATTGATTGCTGCTATCTGGCAGGTGCATTTTTGGTTTCTGTGATTCCAGTGATGAGCAAAAGAGTGTACCTGGCCGCATGGAACTTGTAGTCCAGTGGGACCATTTGTAGTAATATTTCCTGGCATGGAGTTATGGTATCCTGATGTCCCCATAAAGGTTATACATAATAGGCAATTATTTTTGAATTGTAATATATTTAAACATTTTGAAATAATGTAGCCTACTATTTGTCCTCAGAAGGTGTGGGTTTCAGATACCTGCCCTGCCATTTTCGTTGTGAGATACTGAAAAATAATTGAACTTCTTTCTGAACTTTACTGTTGTTTCCTGCAGAGATGGGCTCAAAACTTGCTTCACAGATGAGCTACAAAAATTAATGAGAATATATGTATGAAAGTACTTTGTAAACTATAAAGTCTTATTTGTGATAGGGTTTTCTTACTTTTTGTTGGACAGATTCATGGATTGTTGGAACTAGGAGGGATTTTGACTCATTTGGCTCATGTTTCCCATTTTACATATGAGGAAACTGAAGCCCAGAAAGTGGAAGTGATTTGTTGAAGATTGTAGAACTGGTTAATAACTGGGCAGTGATTGGAAGACAGATGTCCATATTTAATTATATTTGTTTATTTTCTGTTTTTTTTCCCCCTACCTTAGAGCCTGTTATGTTAAAATTTTACTGCTTTCTCCCCCCACTTAAGAGTTCAGTATTTATTAAATATCCAAAATGAGGAGATGCAGAACTTAAGGAAACGAACAATCTATGGTAAGGTTGTAAAGCTATGAAAACAACATTGATGTAGTGTTTGGTAACCAAGCTTCATAGTTACTCAAATGACAAAATTATGGAAAAAGAAAATATGAGTTAAAGTTTCTGCATAGTAGAGCCTGTAGGCTTTCTTATTTTGTTTCATTTTTAAAGAAATCTTTATTAGCTCAGAGCATAATGTACTCTTTAGCTCTTTAGAAAAGCTAAACTCAGTTTATTTTGGTTTGTCTTTTTCTTCTTTTTTAAAACTCATTTCCATTTGCAGAAGAAATTAGGTGTACCATTTTTGTTTCTGGACCATGGCCAACTGAATTTTAGACCTTTTTTCTCAGCGACACGTAAGGGTAACCAGAGATTGGGGCTGGAGGTGTTAGTCAGGTGGAGAGATAAAACGGGACATAAAACAGGAACATGTAGAGCTTCCTGTTGAAAATGGGGCTGATTTATGTTGTGCCACCCTACCTTCCAGTAGAGTAATCTGAGCCAGCAGAGAAGAAACTTCCCTGCTGGTTTGGTGAACGCTCTTGAGGTAAGGGGAGTTCCTTCTCCCGGGAGGAATAAGCATTGTGGTATTCTGCCAGTGCTCACACAGAAGTTTGGGTCTTATTCTACAGACAGATGCAGTAAAATAAGGGTGTTCCACTATCCCTGGAGATTGACAATCCGACCTTCTACCTGCTGCACTTCTGCTTCTTTGGTGTAAAAAATTGGCCTCATTGAATTTTGCTGTTAGTTTTTTTCTGTGCCCAGCTAATCAAAAACAAAAACAAAACCCACACA